TCATCAATGAGACAACGGTGGAAACCAAATGAATGTATGATATATAATTTGGATTAATGAAATTAGGTTATATATAAACACATATAAACATTGGAATTTCATATATTAGTTGCAGGATGATCATTCTTTTATGATATACCATACCGAATCCAGTAACGTATAATCGTATATAAAACAAATCCGATCTTAAAAGTATTATTGTATATCAATTTTTTTATATCAAATTAACAAAAATTTGATATAAAATGCAAAACCCAAATTCGAATAGAATCAATATAAACTGGAATCCGATATAAAGGCTGAGTGGTTGGAGTTTTTAGAGTTTTTAGAATCCAAAAACTAAAAAAATTATCATTCAATTTTTCACAAAATTACTTTTTCTAAAAACTTGGAAAGACATTTTAGTGGAAAAATCAAAAGCTATTTTTTTTTAGTTTTCAAATATTATAGAATCCAAAAGCCAAAAACCAAACACTAAAAACCAAAATCCAAAAACTAAAACTAAAAACCCAAAATAAAACTCATCCCCATTCAAAGCCAAAATAAAAAATTGTATAAAAACCGAATCGAAAGCCGAAATTGCATCCTAGTTAGTCAGTCAGTATTAAAAAGTCTAGATGACATTATAAGGATCGAAATCGGTTAAAGTATTTTATTTTTTTCCCCTTGTTGAACTCACATTCTTAAAGGTAATTGGTTTTGAAAGTTTTCGGTGTATCGTAGTTTTCATGTGGTAATTCTAGATACCTCACTTTAAAGATCTCGAGACATGAACTATAAAAAGAAACTTTTTTTTATTAGATTAATAAAAAAAGAAGGAAAACTCAAATCGGGAAATATAGGCTCATGAAATCATTTATTCCTATCCACTCACAAAAGAAAAATAATAATAATATATTTTTTGTACTAAAATATATATTATTTTTGGTAATTTATGCATGAACTATGTGTTCCTAGTATATAAATAGAACATGCAATTGTGTGATTGACCAAAGCCTTGTAATCTCTTCTTCCTCTCCAACGCATTTTATCAAGAAAATTATCTGCAAAGTTCTTGTTGAGCTTTCAACAATGGCGGGCATTGCCTTTGGTTCTTTTGATGACTCCTTCAGCTTGAACTCTATCAAAGCATACCTCGCTGAGTTCATCTCCACTTTGCTCTTCGTTTTCGCCGGCGTTGGCTCCGCCATTGCCTTTGGTTCGTCCTCTCTCCCTCTCTCTCTCTCTCTCTCTCTCTCTCTCTCTCTCTCTCTCTATCTATCTATCTATCTATATATATATAATTTGTGTGTGTGTGTATAGGCAAGCTGACGTCGGATGCTCCGCTTGATGCATCGGGGCTCGTGGCCATAGCAGTGTGCCATGGTTTCGGACTATTCGTGGCGGTGGCGGTGGGAGCCAACATCTCCGGCGGCCACGTCAACCCGGCGGTGACATTCGGTCTGGCCCTCGGCGGTCAGATCACTATTCTCACCGGAGTATTCTACTGGGTCGCTCAGCTTCTCGGTTCCACCGTCGCTTGCTTCCTCCTCAAGTTCGTCACCGGTGGTTTGGTATATATATACATCCTCTCTCTCTCTCTCTCTCTCTATATATATATATATATATATATTCATGATCTCCTCATTTTTGGTAGAGATGTCACTATATTTGTGACGAAATTCATAATTTCTAACAATACACGAGTAGAGTGATAATCTCACATATAGTGGACCGAAAATTTCTCTAATATTTCTTTGGGAAAAAATATCGTAAATCCAATTCAGCTTATAGAGAAACACAAATTACAAATTGGTATATTTTCTCCAAAATGACAATTAAATCATTCAGTTCTTGATTAGATCACAAAATTGTTATAAATAAATTTAAAAAACACAAAATACACGTCTAAATTGACTAAAATTTTGGTCCTGTGAGTTACTGAAATGGGTAGTTGCATGATTTTAATTAAAAAAAAAAAAACTGCAGGCTGTTCCAATCCACGGCGTTGGAGCAGGAGTAGGAGCAGTAGAAGGAATAGTGATGGAGATCATCATCACCTTTGCATTGGTTTACACCGTCTACGCCACAGCAGCTGACCCGAAGAAGGGCTCACTCGGCACCATAGCTCCCATAGCCATCGGTTTCATTGTCGGAGCCAACATCTTGGCCGCTGGTCCATTCTCCGGTGGCTCCATGAACCCGGCTCGGTCCTGCCGGTACCTCCTCCGGTCACTACATCTACTGGGTCGGCCCACTTATCGGCGGTGGCCTCGCCGGTCTGGTCTATGCCAACGCCTTCATGTCCAGCCAGCATGTCCCGCTTGTTTCCGAGTTCTGATCGAGCTTTTTGTCGCGTTTCATGTTTGGTTTGGTTGCGCTGTGAGGAGGTTATTGCCTCTAGCGTCTATCTTGTTTCACGTGTCTTTTCAATTTGTTTCGAAGCTGTATGATAACTGAATTTGGGGGTTTGATTATGGAAAATGTTAAAGTAACGAAATGCAGAAAGTAATTTTGCAGAGAGAGAGTTTTGGATTTCTGGAATTTCTCGTTGTATTAAACAATGAGACTGTACACATATTTATACACAGCTATTCTACCAAATACATCAAAAATGCGTGTGTACACGTGGAGGAATTATTCTAACAGACTAACAAATCTGGTATAGCCTAAACCAAGCCAGCTCAATATACAATTAACCGGGAACTTGACCAAGTTTAGTGAACCAAAGATGTCATCTCTGTACCGATACTATATTCCTCTGTTATCAGAGATGTAGCAGAGGAAGGAAAAGAAAGATCGAAATTTATAAAGCTTTGATACTCCCCCTCAAGATAGAGAATACATGTCATGAATTCCCATCTTGGAGAGTAAGTATCGAAACTGATCAGCACATAACGGTTTAGTGAGAGCATCCGCAACTTGTTCTCGAGAGATGACGTGAAGCGGTTTCAAAAAACCAGATTTCAGATGATGTCGGATGAAATGGCAGTCGATTTCGATATGCTTGGTTCGCTCGTGGTAGACAGGATTATTCGCAATGTGAATCGCGGATTGGCTGTCACAAAAGAGTGTGACAGGTTTCGGAAACACAATCTGAAGGTCATTGAGAACAGCAGAAAACCAAAGCAATTCACTTGTGGCTTGAGACATGGCACGATATTCAGATTCTGCGCTACTACGAGACACGGTTTGTTGTTTCTTGGATTTCCAGGAAACCAGAGAATCTCCCATGAAAATACAGAACCCAGTGATGGATTTGCGAGAGTCTTGACACGCTGCCCAATCGGCGTCCGTATAACCACTGAGTCGAAGAGAAGAAGAAGCAGGATACAACAAGCCTTGAGAAGGAGCAGACTTTATGTATCGGAGAACACGCTGAGCGGCTGAAAAATGATCAGATCTCGGGGAACGCTTACGGAGAGAGCTAGAGATTGGCTCTACACTCTCGAGCCAAACTCTATCTCGACATGGGGTGAGATGGAAGAGCAATTCTGATGCGCACGCACCGAGTCTTATATTTAATACCCGATTCGTACCACTATCCGCAAGTATACGGTAGTTGTAGTACCGGGGG